CTGCCCTGAAAGACTGAAAGACACAGATGCCATGAGCCCCTGAGAATACATACCTATTGCCCCCTCCCCTACCCTAGGATAAACTTTGGAATTATCCACTGCCCTGAAGTATGCTGTCAGGAAGTCTTTCTTTGTGTCTTTCTTGGGTCTCTCCTATTGTACTGAGTTCATCTTTCATTGTGGAATGGGTCAGGGTTCAGATATTAGGTTTGATGTGCTTTCTTTCTATCTCTTCCCTTTCCCCATCTCCCAGCCTGGAACAGCACAGCAGAATCCAGGGCTTAAAGGGTTAACTGGACTAAGGGGTGTTATCTACAGCTCAGGGCATTCCCTTTGCAAGGTGATCTCTGCTCAGGTCTTAAGTTACCTCCTGCCCCAGCAAGCACATCTGCTGCTGGCTCTGCAGACCAGGTCTCTGTGGAGAGGGGTGGGCATCATGGGGGAGAAACACTTGCCAGCTGGACTTGGGCACAGGGTGCTGGGCTCTAGAATGGCTATATTCCCCACTCCTTGCCCCTCATTTCCACTTCCCTTTCCAACAAAGGGCTCCCACTTTCTGCTGCATGGACCAGGGATGCTTCCAAGCACATCTATGTTGCCCACCTGGGCACACATATGGTTCTGCAGGGCTGTCCATGGAGGACCAAAGCCCACACTCACACACCTTTTAAATGCCCAGAGTATGCCATCTTTCCCCTGAGACAAGGATTTTCCCCAAGTATCCATGCAGGAAGCAAAGATGACAAATTAGTAGCTGAAAACCTATCTCCTGAGGTCTCTCCCAGTCATTCAGGGATCCCAAGAAGTGCTCAGGGCAAGCCAGGTATGAGTTAACACTAGGTTCCAGCAGAGCTCTGTTTGCCAGGGAGGCTGACAAGAGAGAAAACTCTGTCCAGGTGAGCATCTCCCTGAAAGGATGCAGAGGCCCAGTCTAAAGCCAAGGGCAGAGCGCAAAAAGAAAGCAGTGTCCAGGTTTCCTACCCACTAATGACCTGGCAGCTGTCTTGGAAGGAACTGGCTAAGGGCACATACTAGGTCTCTTCTCAAAGTCATCTTCACTGACATGGACATAAACACAGGCATTATTAAAGCTCAGAGCCACTCACAAAATCCTAGTTGCAAAGAAACAGGAAATCAATTAAATGAGAATATATACATTTGATATATATTTATGGTCCCAGTCCCATGGTGACTCATAGATACCAGTGCATACACCTCCTTGTCCTAGTCCCCATGGGCTTGCATGTATGTGCACAGTAAACTGTAGATAACCAACACAAGCACACAAAGCCTTGCACATGTGTGTGCATGCACCCACTCTATATTGAAGGTAAGACTACGCAGATTGTCAGAAACGTTACAGGCTAAGTCCCACAGGTGGCTAATATCCATTCTAGCCTGGCACACTGGTTAACATTCAAAGTTAAAAAAAAAGAAAAAGCAAAACAAGTGACCATACAGATAGCTTCTCTGTCCCTCCCCCAGGTAGGAGCCATTCAATTTACCAGGTTAACCAGCAAAGAAACAATCAGGAAATATGGAAGATACATTCACACCTCCCTTGGGTGTTTTCTGTTTGTGATGAACAATGAACAGTTAGCTGCTAAACAATGGCAGATCATAAACATAGCAGCTGGGGCCAACCCTCTGCCCCCCCAGCCTGGCCCACTTGCTCAGCCATCAGCACAAGAGTTCTGGCCTGTGTGACCATCCTGGCAGCATACAACTGGGTCCTGGGTCAGACAGTAGCCAACAAGGTGCATTCACTGTGCAAAACTGAGTGGCCTAGAAGGGGACCAATATCACAGTCTCAGCCAGCATCAGCCAAAGGGTCACGTGTCCCATAAGCACAGAAGTTGAGGCTCAGAGACATCTTCTAGGCCACTCAGCTAGGCGTGCTGGGTCCAAGCTCTGCTGTATCTCCTCCTCTCTTCCAGCCTTGATTATTAGGCTTTGAATCTGATTCTGAGACACTCTCCACAGCACTGCCTCTGAAACAGGAACTGAGATTCCCATTTATGCATGCTGCAAACTCCAGGCCAGCAGAGGTGGTTTTGCCATAACATCCTTCCAGTACGCACACCGCTGTCTGTGAGAAGTGGGGAGAGGAAAATAAGCCAACAGCCCTGACACTGAGTTTCGAAGGAAATCACCACAGGCTGCAGAGAAGGGGTGTGCTGCGGCCAGTCTGCTCTTCTGAGGGTGTGCATGACACCTGGGGTGTGTGTTCTCTTTCCAGACAAAAGTTTTGGGGAAGCCAATTAGGGAGGGTGTGGTGCAGGTGGGACACCACCTAAGAGTACCTGCTTATAAGGCAGGTTCTCTGTCTCCTCCCTGGGCTCCTCCTGTCCCTCTTCGGGATGTAGCCCCTATGTCTCACTGGACTGCTCCTCTGAGTTATTAACAGCAGGGAGATTGTCATCTCAGAGGCCTGTGGGGCTTCCCCACCCTGCCTGGTAAAGCCTGTGATGTTGAAAACATACTCTGTGTTTACACTTCAATAGCCAGATTGGGAGTGTTTTGGAGTCATTACACACTCCAGGGGCAACTGACCCCACTTCCCCCCAGCAGGCTTCTCTCTGCACCCCTCCATGCTCCCTGCCACAGCCCAGGAGAACCCAGAAAAGAGCATCAGCCTGGCAAGTCCCTTGAGAGAAGCAGCAGCAGGCAATCAGGAGGGAGTCTGCTGATGGTGGAAAGGGGGGTGTAGGAAGGACAACTTCTCCACCTACCAGCCTTTGTCCGAGTGTCAGATGGGCACTACCATATATCCACCTGCCTCCCTTCACAGAGGCGCCAGGGGCACAGGCAACTGGGCACAGGAGCCTGGTGAGTATGAGTCCAGATACTTTGGCAGCCACCACAATTACAATCAATCAAGAGCCAGCTAGTGCTTATTAAGTGCCTTTCTGAGCTGTGGTTCCTTCTCTGCATCCCGCCTCCTCCATCTGGAGTTTTGGTGGGGATAGTGACCACACTTGAGCCAGGTGAGGCTGTCACCTTCCTGCTCTTACTTCCTGAGTGGGGAGGAGTACAGTAGGCCTCCAGCCCCCCTCCCCCCCAAAAAAGCAGGAATTAACCACTATGCATCCCAAATCTGGGGGAACAGAATAACCAAACGAGGGGAGAATGGGGATGAGTTGTTCCCCCTCCCCCAAACCTTTCCCCACTTTATCTGACCCAGGCTTAGGTTAACCCCTAGTGTGCCGGCTGGACCAACTAGAGCTCCTGGAAAGCTCTCCTTTAGCTGGGCTCCGGGTGTGGGCAATATGGAATTGAAAGGTTCCCAGATGCCCAAACCCGGTGGTCAGAAGTATTCCTGCCAGCTTTCCAGGAGGTCCGGTGTGAGACAAAGACCTGTCATCCTCACCGTGATTACCCTGCCGAGGCAGGGGAGGGACTCAGTCAAGCCTCTTTGAAATGGGCAGTGACACCTGTGTGCCCCAGAAATTCTCCTCCCCCCCCACACCTAGCAGGTCAGCACCCCACAGGCTGCAGGGGTAGGGGCACTGTGGTGCCGGCTTCCACAAAGTGCTTTCCATACCTTTGGCCACTCCCCAAGATTTGCGGAGCTGACAGTGAGCTAAGCGCAGACCCGGTATACACGTGAATGAGGCCAGTTTCCTGCTTTCCAGGGGTGCACCCCCCGCCCAGCAACTCAGCAGCCAGGTTAGCCCCTTGAAACAAACTGACCGGCGAGTCTGCGGCATGGCAGACATCTCCTCCGGGTCGCTGCCAGGCGCGCGCACGATCTAATATTTTTGCCCCACGCGAAGCTGGTCTCTTTGTACTCCGAACCCTTATTCTGCCACCCTAAGGCCACGACCACGTGCTCCAGCCAAGTTCCCACCCTGCCCCCAAATCTTTATCTAGCTAGAGAGGGAGGTGGTCTCAGGTTTCTTCCCGGAGGGCTGCAGGAGCCCCCACCCCCACCTCCACCCGCGCGGATGTCGCTAGCCACCGTGAAACCAGCCACTGTGGGAGCCAGGCAGCTGCCCCTGGACACAAAGGGTTAAATCCAGGCAAGGGACTCGGTCGGATTTGCCTCCTAAACGCATTTTCCAGTTCATTCCCCACCACAATACTCCCGGGCCGGTCCCGGCCTCCGCCCCCACCCCATCCATCAGAGGGGCCACCGCGGGCCACCCCCGAGGTCGGGCGTCTGGTTAACCCCTTGGCCACTGGTACTTCGAGGAAGGGCACCCTCGGGAAAGTGGGTCATGCAGCCAGCTGGTTGGCACGAAGCCCGTGGCGCCTCCTCGGAAGACAGCCCCCCAAACTGGGAGCGGGGTTCCGAGAAGAAGCTCAGCCCTGCCAAGGCTAGAAGGTTGCGCTCCGGCGCGGGCCGGGCCTCACCCTCCGGGAAAGGAACCGCAGGTGAGCGATAAGCTGCCTCTGCCGCAGGAGCGGGCTCTGCGCGCCCACTGTGGAGCGACATGGTGTAGGAGGGGCCCGAGAGCCCTAAACTGTCTGGCAAAGGGGCCTGAGAAAGAAATGAAACCCCCCTGCCATCCTCCAAACCCACAGCCCACCAGCTCCGAGACTGACGCCCTCTCCCTGGGGCTGTTGTCTCATTCCCCGAGACGGTTATTACGGCGATTGTTTGCATTTATGTAACATGCAGCGTTTCCAAACTGCTTCCCGAGTTGAGAGCTGGTTATTAAATAAATAGAACGTTATTACATATTATTATTTTTTTGTGAAAACCTGAGCGGAGAAAGTGCTCTCTTGCTACATCGATACGTGCATCAGGCTGCTTCCCTGCAGGGCAGGCAGCTTGGCTTCTCAATCTCTCTTTCTCCGCCGTATCCCCCTCCCCCCCCTTACCTAAGCCGTGACCCAACTTTTCTGGCTCCTTTCACTCCCTGCAACCCAGACGTGTCCTCCATCCAGCTCCCAGCCCCGGGGAGGCATCGGATGGAAAATAATAATAATAATAATAATAATAATAATAATAATAATAATAATAATAATAAAAGGCAGAGGCGGAACTCGCTTACCTGGGAGGAAGAATGCGGTCAAGCCCAGAGCGAGTCCCCACCAGCGTCCAGCCGCACCCGCAAGCCCCATCCGAGCCATCTGGGTCCTGGGGTCCGGCGAGAGCTGCCGCGAGGAAAGCGCTCCTAGCTTCCCCAAAACCAGCGGGAAGACGAAGGCAGATCACTGCCGGCCAGCGCGCGCTCGGAGGATCCAGGTCAGCCGCAGCAGTCGGCCGGGGCGGGGTGGGCTGGGTGGGCTCCGCGCGGCCGCAATCCCGGCCCCCGGCCGCCAGCAGCTTAGAGGCTAGGCAGATGCCCGCCGCAAGTTGCACGAGTCATGCCCCCTTCTCCTCCGCTTTCCTCCTCGCGCCGGTCCCCGCCCTCTTCTTCCACGCAGAACTGGGCTGGAGAGAGGGACCCACCCCCGGCGCGCCCGGCTGCCCGACTGTGCGGGCTCCCGGCCCCGGCGCGCTCACACCCTCCCGCTGGGCTCCAGCATGCAGGCGTCCATGGCCGGCGGTCCTCCGAGGGTGGCGGGAGGCGCCCAGGCGGCGGGCGGGCGGCACGGTGGGCTCGGGGCCCAGGCTGTAGGCGTGGGGCTCTGCGGCCAGCTGCCGGGGCGGCGCGGGCTCGGAGGCTCTGCGCAAGGGGAGCCAGTCGGCTACGCGGCGCGTCCCCGCCGCCGCCGCTCCGCGGGATCCCAGCGATCTGCAACAATGTAGAGCTGCCCGGGCACGGAGTGGAGCCGCGCTCGCTCCTTTAGCTCTCTTTCTCTCACTCTCCCAGCGTCAGTCTCTCCCCCGCTCGCCCGGTGATGTCAGGCCGAGGGGAGGGGTTAGCGTTAACCCCCTCCTGGCTTCACCGCGCGGCCGGCGCCCGGCCCGGCCTCCGCCCGACCCAGCACACCTTCCGGCCTCAGGCAGAGGCGGATCCTAAACGAGGGCCGTGGGGTCCTGCTCAGGCCCACTGGTTCAGGGGATGCCCCTTCCGTTGCCTTTCGGCCCGGGAGAGCGCGGGAGGGCTAGCCGCCCTCCTCAGTCGCTGACAAAGGGAGGCAGTGACCCCTAGTGGCCGGCGTCAGGGGGAGAAGCTGCTCGGTGGGGGTGGAGTCAAGACGGCGTACGGGGTGGGGGTGGGGGGCTGTGTAAGAAAGCGTGCTGTCTGCAGAATACTGGATCTAGCAATGTCTTAGCTGAAAGGGCTTCCACAAACCCCTCTACTCCAATCCTGACCCCATTTTACAGATGAGGAAAGAAAGGCCCAAAGAAGACTAAGGCGATTCGCCGAGGGGTACAAAGGCAGAGAGAGGCAGAGCTCGGATTAGAACCCAGTAGCCAGAGCTCCCTCTCCTCTGCATCATCTGGACGCTGAATGGAGAGGCAGCTAGGCGGAGACCCACTGGAAGCTACTAGAGAAGTCGGTGGTGGGCGTTAGTGGGCAAGGTGGGGCCACTGTGGTGGTTTCTGGTCTTTTCTAATCTCTGTTACCTCCAGTGGTTCCTTTTATAAAAATTGAAGCCCCTTTCCCTCCCCCAAATAGAGTGTAAAATGGAGCTCTGCTCCCTTTGCCAGCAACTTTGTTTTGAGTGATTTTTGGGATTCCCTCCAAAGTGACCCATCCAGTCAGTGTCCATGGCAGGGCAGGCACTCTCTGCCCCATCCCGTTTACCACCTACCGCATCCGGGTGTGGTTGGCTTCCTGCCAAGGCGGCTGGGCCCTCTGAGCCCTTCACAGCCCCTAAACCTACCCTCTCCTTCCCTCTGGACCTCCTACGCCCATTTTCTCCCCCAGGAGGAGGTGGACAGACAGGGTTTTCCACTAAGAAGAACCCAGTTCTCCCCAGATGCCTGGCAAGAGATGCTCCCTTTGCCCATTGCTGCCCTTTGCCCAGCGTGCAGGAGCAGAGGAGAAGTGCTGTTTCTGATAAAATGTCAATTCTAGTCCCTGGGAGTAGGAGGAGCAGGAGGTGGGTAAGCAGGACACCAGCTTTCCCACTCTTTGGGATGTGGCCCTGGAGTATCTCTTGGTTTCTGACTGCAGTAGTCTAATTTGGCACTCACAGCAAGACTACCATACTCACGAATTTACATTTAAAAAACATAACTGGGCATTCTTGGTACCAAACACTGCGCCAGGCTTGGGGATACGGAGACATTGTCATTGCCCTAAAGGCGCTCAGTCTTGTTGGGGAGAAGGAGGGGAAGACAGACATAAACAGATGTTATAAACAAGCATTTAATATGTGCTGTGTCCCAGAGATGTGCACACAGGATTTGGTGGGTCTCGAGAAAGTGCCCAGTTCACTGGGGAGGGGGTGTGTGTGTGTGGGGGGGAGGGGATGGGGGGGTGTGTGCTCCACAGGGGCTGAGTGAGTCATCTCTGGGATAGTCTGACAAAGGCTTGTACTGGAGAAGGGAGGCATTAAGGAGACTGGATTTAAGGTAGCTCAGTCAGCATGAAGAAAGGCACAAAGGCCAGGAAAAGCTGGGTGAGTAGGGCCCAAAAATGGTTGGATGCAGCCTGAGCCTAAGACTTGGGGAAAGGAGAGGTCTACAGATCCACGAATGCCAGGCAGCCACCAGGAAATTTTTACACTGGGCAATACCTTATCATGATTTGTGGTAGCGCAGTCTGGCAGCCAGACACCTCCCTGTTGACCTCTGAGTACTTTAAGGGCCAGTGCTTAATTGAGTTCATTGCTGTGGTTATCAGACTCTGCTTGGCATGTTGCAGAAGCTGAATGGATGTGTTTGAGGGGCAATTCCAGGTGCACCACTGCCTGTTTGTTTCCTGCTCATGTTCTCCCACCTCTCCATCTTTGGGTAAGGCTTCTTTGATCTTCTGCTCTTAAATGGGCTTCCAGAGAGGGTGTGCCTGGGGCTTGGCATGGCTGCCTGGGGATGGGTTGGGTGGAGAAGATGGAGGCAAGTAAATAAGATAGCATAGTCACCCATTCATCATCTTTAAACAAGCCCCTAAAACATGCAAAGCATCAACATAGGTGTGCCAGGTAAGTGTGTGTGTGTGTGTGTGTGTGTGTGTGTGTGTGTGTAGAGGGTTGCAGGGGACAGAAAAGGGAGCCAGAAGGGGAAAAAGGAAAATAAGATAGAGTTTGTTTATTCAGAGAGTAAACAGATGTCTTTTTTAGTACTGATTGTGCCATGCTTAGTGCTGAAGATACAAAAGTGAGCAACAGTCAAGACTCTAGTCAAATAACTATATTATAGAATGGAAGGACACTGCCAAAGAGAGCCAAAACATGCTGGCATCTAGAGGAGAGAGTGAGTGCTTCTCATTGTGGAGAGTAGGGAAGGCTTTCTGGAAGAGGTGACATTTGACTGAGCCCTGAAGGGTGGATCAGATTTGGACCAAGGGAGATCGAGAAGAAAATTTTGGTAGAGGAAACAGCTTGTACAAGGACATGGAGGTGGGAGAGGTCAGGGCCTATGTGGGAACAGCAAGTGATCCAGTTTGTTTTGCATTCTGAGATGTGTAAGAGAAAGGGACAGCTAGATTGTGAACTGTCTAGAAGGTTTCCTTCAGTGGCAGGAAGAAGCAGCACAGGACCAAGCATCAGGAGACTAGGTTCTGGTGCCTACTCTTAAGCTGGAAGTCCAAGAGTCATTTCTTGCTTGTTCCCTTTTCTTCAATATCCAAATTCCAATTCAAAAGCTAGTGATATTGCTCCATTTCTACTGTTATCACCCTAGTCCATGTGCTCATGATTTCTGCTTGACCCTTGCAATCCTCTGACAGTATATAGCCTGTGCACACTGAGGGGAGGGAGTAAAATGTAATGGTCAAGCACTCAGGACTCTGGAACTAGACTGCCTGGATTCAGATCTTTAAACCCCAGCTCTGCCACTCAGTAGCTGTGTTATCTTAGGCAAGTGACTTAACTTCTCTGTGCTTAGGTTCCTCATCTGTATAATGATGGGACATAATAACATCTACCTCATGGAGTTGTGAGGATTAAATGAGTTAAACACATTAAGTGCTTGGAAGAGCACTTTACAGGAAGAGCTGCTTAAGTGTTAAGTCATCATTATTACTGTAATCTTTCTCTCCACATTCAGTCTTGCTTTTCTCTGCCACAGTGCCAGAGGGACACGTGTAGTTTTAAAACTCTTTATTTTGAAATAGTTTAGGATTTGCAGAAGAGTTGCAAAGTTGGTATGGAGTTTCCATATGTCCTTCGTCCAGTTTCCCCTAATGTTAATATCTTACATAACCATGGTACAATTGTCAAAACTAAGAACTTAGCATGGTATATAACACCATAACTGAACTACAGAACTTATTCAGAGTTCTCATTTTCCCACTAGTGTCTATTTTATGTTCCAGGATCCAATCCACAATTCCACATTGAATTTAGCTGTGGATTGTCTTCTATTTCAATGATCAGGTCCCAACACCTGAGAACCTTTCCTTCACCTATCAGCCTCTGAGGCCGTGTCAAGCCCTCAACAAGGCCTATGGGACTACCTGCTTCTGCAGCCTGTCTCACCGAACTCCAGGGCTTTGAGTAGGAGCTGCTAGGCTTTCCTGAGGTTCTAGCCATCAAACTCACCTCCTTGACCTTCACCTAAGCTGTTCCATCTGCACCAATGCGCTTCCCTTTCTTTTTGGCCAGCTACTTATCTTGAGGGCTCAGTTTATGTGTGTCATTTCCCCAGGGTGCCCACTGTGCCCTTCAAACCAAGTGAGTCTCCGCCTACATGCTCTCACAGCTCCCTTTGCATACTTGTAACTACTTCAATAGTTGTTTATAATACTTGATTCATTCCCTAGTGGGCAATCAGCCCCTACAGGACAGCACCATGTCAGGCTTGTTCTCTGCTTTATCCCTAGCACCTAGAATATGCCTGGCACTTGGTAGGCACTTAATGAAAATGTGTTGATTGACTACCTCACATCCTGTGCCACTTTATACTAATCATTTTTCCTCTCTGGGCCTCTTTCTCATCTGCAGACTGAGGAATTTAACTTGTTCAGTGGTTTCCCAATAGTGTTGTGAAAGGCCCTTGGAATTTCCTGGGTTCCCCACTCCCCGCTTTCATAGGAGCCATGTTTAAAGAGCATATTGTTTTCATGTGCTTTCTGAGAAAGATTCTTATTCTTTTTTTTCATGCAGGAGTCAAACTGGCAACCTTGCTGTTAAGAGTGCATGCTCTATCCACTGAGCCACATGGGTGGCAGCTCAACTCAAGGTGTGGAGTTCAGTCCCAGACGTGGGTGCGCATAGCCCACCATTGAACAGGCAATCTTGTCATTAGGAGCATGTGCTCTCACCAGCTGAGCCATCCTGTCACCTGTTGGCAGCTCAGCGGCAGCTCAGCTCTGGCGCAGCTCGGGTGAAGCTCACTGGCCCAGGTGGGAATCGAACCAGCGACTCTGTTGCTCAGAGCTTGTGCTCTTTAGCAAACTCTTAACCAAATGAGCCACTCGGCTGGCCCTGAAAGATTCTTTTTAATGGATTCTGTTGCTTGAAAATATTTGAACTCCCCTGACATATTATTGCATTATATATTATGCATTGCATATAGTTGCATTCTTTTATAATTCCATGATTATTTGTTTTCTGCAGGCAGCGGTGAGCCATTGAAGGTTTCTGAACAAGAAACACTTATTGGGGACTGTCGGAGCTGTGCTTTCAGGAGATGAATCTGTCAATAATGTGGGCAGGATGGACAGATGAGGATTGGTCAGTGAGGATAGAGAGGATTGACGAGAGAGGGTTGTCATGGAAGCCAAGTGAAGAGAGAATTTCACAGAGGAGGAAGTTGCCAGCAGTGTCTGATACTGCAGAAAGCAGGTGGGGATCAGAAGGGGTCTTTAGAAAATGTGGCAAAAACACTAGTGACCTTTGAGAGAGTAGAATTGGTGGCCAAACAGGGACAGAATCCAGATCAAGGTGGGAGAAGGAGCAAATGGAAGGTAAAAAAGCAAAGACAGCAGGTGTCCACATGCTTTTAAGAAGTTTGGTGGTGGATGGAACGAGC